TGGCTGGGCTCGCTCTCCTCTTCCAGAGCTCTCTTGACCTTTTGATACACTCTTCACACTCGGCACTTTAATTCTTCCAAGGAATATATTTTAAGGTCTAAGTTTGTTTTAGTAGCTCCATAATTTTCATCTGTAATTTCCTGGAGTCGCTACTGGGGCAGTGCAAGAGGGTAGACAAAGGCTGCGCGGCTGGTGCTGCTGTCTCATGGTCTGCGAGTGTGCAACTCGAAGTGCTATAAGCAGGCATGGTCTTTATGCTGTTCTGTTTGTACTCAGACAAGAACCAGATTCCTTTCCCCATTAACACTAGTGTTTTTAAGTTTAAAATGCATTGAGACTCCATATCACCCCAATCAGAATGACAATCATAAAATAAAAAAGAAAGAGAGAGAGAGAGAGAGAGAGAGAGAGAGAGAAGAAATGCTGGTGAGGTAGAGAAACAGCCCTAGCACAGAGCTGGTGGGAATGAAAACTACAGACGTCACAACGGAAATCAGTAAGGATATTATAAAATGCTAAAAATAGAATTACTATATGACCCAAATATACCATTCCTGGATATAAACCTAGAGGATTCTAAGACAGTAAACCACAGAGACACATACATGTCCCTGTTACTTGCTATATTATTCATAACCGCCAAGACATGGAACAAGCCTGCAGGCCCATTAGTTGGCGAATGGAAAGGGAAAAAGTAGTGCATATAGGTAATAGCAATAGAAGTCTATTCAATGTGTAAAGAAAAATGAAATTATAACATTTGACAGAAAATTCATGGAGTTGAAGATGATTAGGTTATGTGAAATAAGTCAGGACTAGTGTGGTGGTCCTGAATGAGAATGACCCCCTTGGCTCATAAGTTTGAATGCTTGGTCCCCAGGTAGTGGAGTTGCTTGGGAAGGATTAGGAAGAGTGTTTTTTGTTGGAAGAGGTATGTGATTGTTGGAGAATGTATGTCACTGGGGGGTGGGCTTTGAGGTTTTAAAAGCCCAATCCAGGTCCAGCGTCACTCTCTACCTGTTGCCTGTGAATCAGGATTCAAGTTCCCAGTTCCTGCCATGATGATAATGAATTAATTCTCTGAAACTGCAAGCAAGTCCCCAATTAAATGCTTTCTTTTATAAGGGGTGATGCCCACTGTGGGCAGCACCATTCCCTGGCTGAGGTCATGGACTGAATAAATGGAGAAAAGGCTGGAGCTAATGACTGAATTCCTGTCTCTGCCTTGTGTTTATGGGTATTATGTGCTTCAAGCTCATCCTGCTCTGATTTCCCTGCTGTGATTGTTTGAATCCTTGAACTATAAACCAAAATTAACCCTTTATCCATTGAGTTGCTTTGGTCAGGGCATTTTGCCTCAGCATTGGGAAAAGAAAGCATGACAGGGAGTGTGTGAAATAAGAGACAGTAACTGAATATAGGTCAGGAGGGACTCATGGGGGGGCATGTAAACGTGTAAAGGAAGAGAGAAGAGTGGCAGCGGTGTTAATAAGAACTGAGTATGTGTCTGTATGGAAATGCAACAGTAGAACCCATTGTTTCATACGCTAACTAAAAATCTAAATAAAAATTACCACAGTAGAAGTGTTGGCTGGCCGTATGAGTTGATGCAGCTCTGGCATCTGGAGTCTAAAGGAATTTTTTTCACCTGTGCCTGAGTGACCTTGTATAAGTAACTTTTCTCTCCTTCAGCGTCCTCCCTTTGAAGTAGGCAGCAATAGCAGTAATGGCCTCATAGGTCTTCATGGTGTTAGATGAACTCATAAGGGCACCGTGGCATAACAAAGGCTTTTGGCAGGTGTCAAGAGTATCTGTGATTCCCTAAAATGGCACAGCCTCCAGAACCGATCTCAAGAACGGGTTTCATGCAGAAGTCAGAAGCCTCCTCATAAGTCAAAGACACTGAAAAATACTCTGAGACCCAAGATGGACTCATGTAACACCATGGCCTGGCCCTCATCACCCACCCTCTGCCTGTGTCTGTTTGTCTGTACTGATACTGTCACTGTGTTGGAAGGGGAGCTATATCCAGAATCCACAGAGAAGGCATGCATAAAGAAACTACCCCCGTGGTTATACACTCATATTATCCTGCTGCTCCACTGTCAAAACATATTTCATGACCCCATTCTCTGTCTTTATCCTCTTATTCTTCCGCCCCTTTCTTCTTCTGCTTGGTTCCCTCTTCCTCTCCTTCCTTCCCACCTTTCCTTTTCCTCTTTCTCTGGAACTCAATGTTTTCCTCTTTTCAGGGTCTGGTTGAATAAATAGATTTTTTTTTTTTACTTCTCAGGGAAATACTATTTTGGGGAAAACTATTGCTTCCCTTTTGTCTGTCTCTATGTCCAAGAAATGGGAACTGATCCGAACAGAGCCAAGCCGATGTTGCTGTGTAGAATGTGAAATGGCTTCCGAATATCCCTGAACTCTAAAAACCTCAACTCAGGGGCCTGTAGCCACCATGTTTCCTACAAATGGACCAGAGAAGTGGAGGTAGATGAGGGAAACAGGTTCAGGGAAGGATGTTCTCCTAGACTCTAGACCAAAGGCCAAAGCATCGTCCTCTAGTGGGTCTCTCAACATTGTCTTAACCGAAGCACCTTGCTTAAATAGGGCACCTGCCACTAGCCAATCAACTAACTGGATGACTTACACTTGCCATTCATTGCTATTTCTTCTGGGCACCAGCAGATACCCAGCATGCTAGCTGACAATTGGATTCAAAGAAAGCTGGTAATGGGAATAACACATCACACCAGAATATCCTTGTGGTACCAACTCTGCCTAGCTATCTAATATTTAATGCCTTGCCTCAAAGAAAATGTCTAATGAAATAAACATCAGCAGACACGGGGCCACCAAGAACCTGCTTTAGCACAAAGAGGTCTTTAAGATGCTTGAGAATATTCTAGGAAGCTCCCTTTTCTGTGCGGTATTATGCCAAGACTCGGTTTTATTTACACCCCCCCTTACACACACACACACACACACACACACACTGTCTCCTCCTCTTGCTCCTCCTTCTCCTCCTCTCAGTCTACAGAGATAAATCCTACCAATAATTTCCATTTCAAGCTGCTGTCAGCAGATCTTCCTATCATTTTTCCTAGCTTTTAACATAGTAAAAAAAAATAAAAAACAAAATTTTCCATTGCCTGACTATTACTAAAAAATCTAACTGGCAATGCAAAACACAGCAGCCTTCAACCGTATCCCTGTGGGAACTTGGTCACATTCCCAAACTCCTTTTCCCAGGAGACCCCTTTGTATCCCTGCATTTATAAGACATCTGGCTCTTCGTCCCTACAAGCTCAAATCCAGCTGCCTTGGCCCTGGCTTGAGCTGTGGAAGCTGAGGCTTCTTGGCGTGTCAGATTCTTTTGTTTGCATTACTTTACCCCCACTGTGGTCTAACCTGCAATGGTTAGTGGGCCCACATGCCAGGGTGGTCCAGCCTCACCTCCTTGAGGGGCTCTAAAGTACAGCACTGGGAAACCCAAACTACATTCTACATTCACCCACTAGAAAAGAGAGTTGGTGATGCTAACGATTAATGGAAATGACATTTTAGAGTAGCCACAATTGTTTCTTGTCATGCAGATCTATACTAGATCCAAAATTCTTCACATTCGCTGGGTCACCCTAGGCCACACCCAGTTGTGTTGCAGCTTAGTTGTTTGAGCCATAAAGGGCACAGAAGACACAAAGAAAGTCAAAGTTATTGGTGCAAAAATTATATTTATTAAGAAATTCTACCCTAACTGAGCCTTTTCAATACTTAAAATTTCTCTCCAATGCCCCTCAACCTGATCTCTCTGAGCCTAGAGACAGTAGAATTCCAAATTCAGAGCTTAGGGGCAGAACTTGAAGGAACTAAACAGTAAAACAGAATCGGTCTTACATCATAAGCCACATCAGCATTTAACTAATGGCATTTTTAGTAATACATATATAGTACATACATACATAGAATAATAGTGTATTTTTACAAACAATGACATTTTTAATTCAGTGAAAGATAGGAACTAAGGTAATTCACACAGCGTTCCAGGTCTTCTGGGAAAAGGTTAACTCTGTATTGTGTTCAATTTCCTTCTCAGTTGCTTTTCCCAAAATCAGCAGAAATCCCATTGTGTTTACCGTCCACAGCACTGGGAGGGTCACAGAACTCCCTGACCCCCGTGTTCCCTAAGTATGTTCCTTCATGTTAAAAGCTTGCTGAAAAGGTCTCTCCCTGGCTAGGGAAAATCACAACCGGGATGGAGGAGAAGATCCCGAGGCCACGAGGCCACACCTCCAGATGTGGAGTTATTGGCGGGCTATAACTGAGTGTGGGGGGTCACTTTTCTTTAGGCCCACGCTCCAGTAGATGGCCCGGTCCCTGTGAGCATACAGGGAGTACTAACTGGAATCAGTATATACTATTAAAAAACAAAAGGCTTCAAGTTGAGAGGTAGATGTGTTGGAAGGTGACCTGACTTGTGGGCAGGCAGTGAGAAGTAGGTGTGAACAAGACACATCGTATACAAGCGTAAAATTTTCACAAAGAACATTTGGGAAAGAACTTCTCAAAGTTTCTCCAATACTTTTCCGGCTCCAGTAGAAACAAACAATAGGTTTACTGAGAGGGTGATGGGTTTGCAAGATTTCTGTCACTGGTTTGACAAAAGCTTCTCCCCTGTGACTGATTTAAAATAGAGATGGTACTTAGTAAGGCTCCAAGTGCTGATAACACAACCACGCCCACAGACCCCCCTCCCTGACCAGGAGCCAGTGACGTCAGGAGAGCAGGCTAGGTCTTCTGCTCCAGGTCCAGATCTTCAGGGGGCGGCAGTGTTTTTTGCATCAGTTTTCAGTGAAACACATCCAGGCTTCACAGTATGGCTACCTGATGCGCTCGCTCCCCATAACTTCAAAACTAAGAAATAAGTAGAAGCCAAAGACGACTTTTCGGTAGGAGCCCAGCGCAGCATGGCGCCTTTTTCTGCACTGTGACCTACTCCCTTTCCTTTGAGATATCAGAGCACCTGTTGGAGGACCATTTGGGGCCAGTGGGGAAATAGAGAGCAGAAATCAAGGTACATTCAGAGCCTTAATCCCTCAATAGGCCAGGTATTATCAGAAGCCTGCTGCCCCAGGCTTTAATGCTCCTTTGCCTGTGATTATGAAAATATCCTTATTACATTGCAACATGGCATAATCATTTGCATTTTTATTGTTTTCACTCAAAAGCTCCTAAGTTATTTAGATAAGCACCATTAAGCAAAATTCTAAGTAATTAGTTCTTTTGATGGCTCCTGGTGACAGGAGAGGAACCCGGAGACATTTATTAACAGTAGCATTAGTCCCAAGTGGGACATAACCGCACACAGAACTCAGCCCCGGTACAACCTCTCATTAAACCCCGAGAAGGAATTAGCTATTTTTCCCTTCCCATGCCAGTCTTCATCAGCCAGTCCCTGCCACTTAGGCAGGATCATTATATCATTTACTCTACAAACATTCCACAAATCACTGCTAATGCAAAATCCCGCAGGGTGGCTAAAGCAATCACACCTGTCTTCAGAGAACTCAGAACTTCCAATTCAACTGCACTCATCAGGACTTCAAGACCAGATGGGAAGCTGAGGTCCATCTTCATCCTTCCTTGTGGTGGGTCACAGACAGATCTGAATGGGCTTCTCTAAGACTCACCATTGGTCAATAGGATCCACGTTTCGCAACTAAGGTCCATCCCAGAATCCCACTGAAACAAGAGACAACCCACGGATGGGGAAGACTTTTGGTAAGTGAAAGTCTGTGGCAAGGCATCCATTCTTTCCAAGCAATGACAAATATCTCTGCCCTCTTCAGTTGACATGGAATGTATCAAAGCGAGGAAAGTTCTTAAGCTTAGAAAATAACCCAAAGGTTTTCTGGCTCTACACACTCGTTCATACACAGGGACACATCGGAAAATGAGAAGCTAGGCTCCACAACTGAGTGAGAACATGCAGTGTTTGCCTTTCTGAGCCCAGGTTAATTGACTTAACATAATATTTTCTAGGACTTATAAAAGAAGATATAAAGTGGCCTAAGAAGAAAGGGGAGGGGAGAGACAGAACACCTGAGATTTGAATGAAGGGGGTCCAGGGAGAGGAAGGGTCTAAGCAGGAGAGATAAAAAGCTGAGGACGACTGGATGGGGAGAGCCAAGCAAAACAAAGGAGGCATGAAAGTGTCACAGAGAAACGTGCTGCTCTGTAAGCCAAGAAAAGAGAAAGAGAAGAATATAAGAGGAGATGGGGAAGGGGAAGTCATGATCAGAATGTATTGTATGAATTTAATAAGAAAGAGAAGAGAGAGAGAGGAGAGAGAGATGGGAGAGAGTGAAGTGGGGAATGACTTAAAGGGAGATTTATATGAAGAACTTAAGGGCTTTATCTCATGTATTTCAGAAAACAGGTCTTTGAGGGAAGAGCATCTGAGGCAGACAGGAAGGGTCTCAGATGATCTTCCTGTTTTCCTGTGTGACTAGTCCTGGTGACTCCTATGACCCCTGGAGTCTACAGCCAACTGATAAGCGGTTGCCTGTCAAGGTTGAAACCTGAGGACCTCTGAAATTCTGATTCAATTCAGAACCTCAGCCTCCGCTCACCTGCCTTGTGCTTTGAAGGCAGGCTCTTTCTACAGGGTAAAAATCCTGCATGGTGCTCTCTCCCATCCTGTAGCAAAAGCCAACTCAAATGAAACTTTAAATAAGACTTTAAGTAAGAGCTCCTGTTTCTGACCAGCTTTGCTAACAGATGACTTCCCAAGCGCAGACATAGGCCTGCTGAGGATCAGGCTCCGGAAGACTTTAGGTGTTAGAAGTGTGCATGAACCTCAGTTCTGACTCGGAAGTGTCATGCAACACACCTGCTGTGAGATCTCAGCAAAGCTGCAGCTCCCTGGAGACATCCCCACACGTTCATCTGCCTCCCCAGCACCATATTGCCTGCTTCCCCAACCACACAGAAACAGAAAATGCACCACGTTTTTGGGTCAGTGTTTCAGAGGAACAAAATATCCTTGAATTTGTCCCTAGATTCTGACTTGTTCTCGTTTCTATATCATTAAAGGCCCATGAAAAACAATGCAAAATTCAGTGTTGGCTCTCTCAACAAAATAAAACACACAGGGCCCTTTTTTCACAGTAGTTGGACTTCGTTTGAGCTGAAATTCTACGTGCCCTTCCAGGAGCCACATTACTGACAGAAAGTTCCATGGAAACTCTGAAAGAGAGGCTTCATCAGGTGGCAATGACCCAGGTGTACCAAAGCCACTCTGATTCAAAGTGCCTGCCTGAAGCATGCAAGGCATAGGAACCCAGAAGATGAGTAAAGATTGTATCTCTAGATCATGTGGAAACCCAACATGGGGACAACAGGGAACACGGGAGGCAGCAACTTCCAGGTGAGGAAGATATGAAAACGCTTAGCAGGTAAGTACCAGCCTGAGGCTGCTGATGCCTGGAAATCGTGGTTAATGTAGAAAATGCCAGGATTTCCATTGCTTTTCCATTTCCCAGCCCACTGACCCCACTGCCCTGCCAATAACTCCAGATTGGCTCCACCCATTATCATTAAAAAACATGCAAGAGGCATTTCTTTCCCTCTCCCGCAGGATTCTCCTCTGGACACTGCTGAAGGAGTGGGATTTCTAAGTCCCACTGTCTCGCTTGGGCAGTATTACTCATTTCTATTGGCGATGAGGAAACGATAGATGAATTCGGAGGATTTCTTGATGAAACAGCTTACAACCGCCCTGCTGCTGACAAAATCATCATAGCTATCCCGTTACACCTCTCTGCCAGCTGTGTAATTAGTGTCGTTTCCAGTCAATCATGGAAACAGAGGTGAGTGTGGAGGATGCAACACAGAACTGCATGAATGTGAATGTTTCAGGGCACCTCTGGAGAGATGGTACTCGCAATGACAGAGACTTGGCACATGTTTCCAGAGGGTCTTAAGTGCCCTTACCAATATCAAGTCTGCCGTCTTCTGATAGATACACTTTAAGAGGAAGCGTTGGGGTGGGTGTTTCTGAAGGCACGTGGGGAGCATGCTCCATTTGGAACTCATTTGAAAATGCATTAAATTAGCATATTGCTATGGGTAGTACACGTAATTTCACTTCTGTGCTTTCCAAACCAGAACATGATTTCAAAAGACCAAAACCTAAACAATGCAATTTATACCCTAGAGTCTCCTCCTCCTACGCTTCGGAACTATGCACAATTGACTGCCTTCTCTTGTAGATCTTCCCGGTTAGGGTCTGGTACTGCGTAAAGAGGTTATTAACATTTGCTTGGCATATAACACAAATACAATTAAGTAGTATCTGTGTTAGCTATGGTAAAGAAAGAAATGGAAAATATTGGTTAAAACCCTGGTACGGTATATTCAGCAATTTGTGATCAGTTGTCCTCCCTAAGCCAGGAACATCTATACACTCCCAACCTGTGTTCAGAGAGAGTTGACCATGAAGGTCAGAAATACCTTCTCAACCAAGGAGATCATTTAGCACAATTCTGACTGTACAGTAATGAGCTGCTGAGTCTCTCATGGTGTCTCTTAAGATTCGTGACAGAAAAGGGTTTCCTTTTTCTGTCTGGTTCCTTCATAGCTATGCTAGTGAGAATCATGGCCACCAAAGACACCCACCTCCTAATCCATGGAGGTGGTGACAGAAGAATATTATACACCGGACAACACAAAACACAAAGCAGTCTTTTCTCTGAGTCCCAAGATCCATAAGGTGTTCTTCATATTTAAATTCTCCACGTGAGTCAATTAGGATTTTATAGTAACTGTATAATGGCATGGGGAAGTTTATAGAAACCGTCAAAAATAATCAACAAATCTAAACCTTTACAATCTAAAGCTACAGTAGATTAAAGATAAACCCACCTGTTTCTGATTTCAAGTTATAGGTTTCTGCTTGAGAGATGAGGTTAGGTGAGGAAAGTTTAGACCATCATCTTGTAAAGATGAAAGTACCACTGAGAAACTCCTGTGTCGGCATTTGTGCTTGTGCAAAGTGACTGTCAGTACAGTGTTGGATATGACATGGTTGACAAGGTGTATGAAAGAGCCACATAGGAAACCTTTGCATGAGCACAGCAAGACACACAGTGGGTTTTATGGATAGTGATAGTGGGGATGGAGACAATGGATGAGGTCTAGGGACAGTTGGAGGGTTGTACAGACAGTAGCTAGAGACTTGGAGGGAGAGAGGGGGAAAGTGTTGATGGAGATGCCAAACTATAAATCTGGACAATAGACTAGATGACAATCATTCAATATAACATGAGATACTTTTATTAAGTCAGAAATAAAAATGGTTGATGTAATACAATGAGTGCTCAGTTGGATTTATGTTTGCAATGGGAAAGTATTTTGGTTGGTTTTGTGTTGTTTTATAAACTTGACACAAGTGAAAATCATCTGAGAAGAGGGAATCTTAACTGAGTAAATGCCTCATCAGACTGACCTGTAGGCAACTGCAAGCTTCTATGGCATTTTCTTCATTGACGATTGATATGGAAAGTGCTGCCACTCCTGGCCAAGTGGTCATGGAGTGTTAGAAAAAAATCAAACTGAGCAAGCTAGCAAGCAACATCCCTCCGTGGTCTCTGCTTCAGTTTCTGCCCCCAGTTCTTGCCTTGAATTCCTGTCCTGGTGGGTTGTGATCTCGAAGCTGTAAAGTAGAAATGAATCTTTCCTCCCTAAACTACTTTTGATCATGGTATTTTATCACAGTGATAGAAACCTAACTGAGCCAGACAGGTTGTACGGGATTGCAGGAGATAATAATAAACAATTGGAGATGTCACAGGAGAAATTTAATTTTTAGAAACAAATTTGAGCACATCAAATTATGAATGGAGATGGAGGTCACTGAGTATATCAACATACAAAGTAAATGTGTAGAATTAGGATTCAATTAAAAATATTTAAAATAAAGGACAAAAAGAAAACCTACAAAGAGGAAGACTATGTTTATAGACAAAAAAACGAATATGAAGAAAACTAAGAAGATTTAAAGCCATAAGATGGTATAAGACAGTGGATACTACATGAAGTACCAAATGCCGCTGGGAAATAAAGCAGGGTAGATGAGTGGACACTGGATTTTACACTATGGATATTATCAGGCACTTGAGATAGATAAGTGAACAAGGCTTTGTGAATAAGGGTCAAGTTCAAAGTCGTGGGGTGAAGAAATAGGAAGCAATGAACTGGGAAGTCAAAGAATCATACTGAGAAGGAATTGTTGGTATGCTTTGTTGGTAGAGAGGATGAGCATGGATACCCAAAAGGGATACCTTGTGTCATGAGATCCCAACAAGATGAACTGAACCCAGCACCAAAATGGAGGGAGGGGCAGATGTCAAAGGAAGGATGTCAATGTCATGAGTGGTGAGGAAACACAGCCACGGTTCTTGCCAGTGAATTTTTAAACTTAGTGGAAGAAAAACTGAAGGACAGAATTACTACCTTCTGATTTCAGTTATCCTGATAAAAAGATGAATTCATATGAATTCTTAATTGTGAAAAAAGGGAGAATCATTCTAGCATTTAAGCCAAATAGCTCCTACAGTCTCAGATATTATCATCTCAGCATAGATTTGAATTTATAAAATTATAATCCAGCAGTTTACATTAGCTAAAAAAGCAATTATAATTTTATCTGATGCTCAACATTAGGCAAGATCACATTTGTA